CAAAATCTTATGGTCCAAAATGTCGTACAACTCCTATAACTGTAAGGTTGTAAAAGGTGTCTGCAATGTGACCGGTGCCCAAAGAGTTGACCTCCCCCTCCAGTTGTTCAGAGACTTCTGTGCAATAAAAGGTAACCTTCCACAGCAATCTCATGAAGTTGTTACCCTCACCACTCTAGGGACATTGTTGTGATAACATTGTTGTCATCCCCAACAGGTGTCAGGGGTGTGGGAGCTTATCGGACATTGATCTGACAAGGTCCCATGCCCTGACATTTGTGGCAATCAGTATATACATGACAAGCCTACAGATTACCTTCTCTAAATGGGTGGAAGGCTTTCCCTCTCAAGACTAAGACCGATGAGGAAGTCTGCCAAAATTATGTTCCTATATTTTTACCGGCACGGCTGATGTCCTCAGGGGCGTTATTTCACTGACCAGGGGCAGAGAATTTGTGAACAAGTAGTAAGCACACATTTAATACTACATTTATTTTTGTGAAGCCTAGGTATATGGTAAAAGGTTATATTAATGTGCTTCGTTTGTTGTTTTAGATGAACAGTAGACTCTGTGTTCTACTTTCAATCTAAAGAAGCATCTCTGCACGCACTATCATCTCTAACCAACGGCTTGGATTGAAAAGACAAATGGACATCATTATAAGCTCGGTTAAGAAATGTTAGAATAGAAACTTAAATGTTTTTTTGTGTTGTTTTATATCTCTTAATTGTTTCTTTTCATTGCAACATAATTCTGTAGACTTTGGTATCATTTTACAGCTTCTTATTGATATGGACATACAGTAAAAAATGGCAACACTATAAGAAAACTGTTTTACAAATTTGGGAGTATGTGCTGTGACTGGTATGTAATAACTGTGCTTCTAGGGCACTGTGAAATAGAGCCCTAGCGTGGCGACGGGTCGAAGTGACACCCTGTCGGGGGCGGGGGGTCCTGAGACCCGTCTGGGCGCTACCGAACCCCGAGTAGCCGTCAGGGGGGTCGGGGTGGAGGGAGCCCGGGCTGGGGGGTCAGGAGGATGTGGGAGACCGGGCGGGCGACCGGGGGGGGGGGTGACGGTGGGGCGGGGGGGCCTTGACGGGTGGAGACGGCGTGGGTCGTGGTGCAGTTAGCGTGGCGCGGTGGTGTTAGAGGGGGCTGTGGTGGCGATCGTGGGGTGGTGCGTTGGACTGGGTTGCGGGGTACTGCCGGGGTCGGTCTGTGGGTGAGTGGTCCGGGGGGGGAGTGGGGCGGCCCTGTGGCTTGGGGTATGTGGGGGGGGTGTGTATGGGGATGCAAGGCGCACGGGGCGCGTGGGCTGGGAAGAGACCCGCCTGGGCTGGCGGCTTGCGGCGCTGGTGGGGGGTCGGGGGTTGTGGGCAGGCATGAGTGTGTGGGCGGGGGTAGGCAAGGAAGTGGTGCAGGGGGTCACCTTTGGGGGAGAGGGCTGCGGGGGGGCGGGTTGTAGTGGGGGGATGGCGGGGTGGAGCGACAGTTGGTGATGGGAGTTGTTGGGTAGGGTGGGCGGGATGCGCAGGCTGCCGGTCTGGAAAGCCCCGCTCAGGTCCGCGGAGTAGGGGGGCGAGAGTTCGGGGGATGTGTGGGGTGGGGGGGGCGTCTGGGGTGTGGTGGGGAGGGAGAATCTGGATATGTCGTCCCGTCCCGGCGGCGGCCGGGGGGCGGCGTGGTCGGGGCCTGTTCGGGACCGGGGCCGTTCTGGGCGCGGGGGTTCGGGGGGTGAGGGCATGGGGCTAGGAGCGGGGGTCATGGGGCGGGCTGGGTCGCTGAGCGGGGCGGCGGGGGCTGAGGGCCGGGGGGGGTGGGGGGTGGGCAGGCCAACGCAGGTGAGGGGCGGGGCTTGGCGTGGGTGCGTGCGGTTGGCAGGTAACGGTTTCGGTTGGGGTGAAGGTGGGAAGGGAGGAAGGGCGGCGGCATAGACGGGGGCTGGTGCGCAGCTTGGGGGGGAGGGCGGCTCGCGGGGGTGGGAGGTGTGGACTGGGGTGTGGGGGGTGTGGGGGGGAGGACGGACGGGGGCGCGTCAGGAGTGGGTAGGGGAGTCTGTAGGGTGAGGGAGGAGGGCGCAGGAGAGGGGCGGGGGCGGGAGCGGGGGGGGGCAGTATTCGGGCTATAGCTAAGCTGGGGGGGGGTGGCGATACAAGGTGGAGAGGAGTGGGTAGGGTGATCGATGCGTCGTGGAGTCGTTCGGTGTGGTCGGTGTGGGTTTGGGTGGCTGGGGTGTGTCCATAGAGAAGGTGCGGCAGCGGCATGCTTGCGATAGTAGGTGTTGCTGCGGGCATTGGGGGGAAGAGGAGCGGGACGACCGGGGTGACCTGGGTGGGGAGTGCTTGCGTTGGTGGAGGCGGGATGTCCGATACTCCCAGCAGGGCTACTTTCGCGAATGAGTATGGGTTCAGAGCAGCAGCGGTTCGAGGCAGAGAAGGATCGGAGAGGTTGGGAAAAAGGATCCAGGCTCAGCGATGCGCGTGCCCGCGTGGTTTGGTGGTGCCTGTAGGGGTTATCGCGGTCCGCACGACTACCGGAGGGAGCCCTGGGAGGCGTGTTAGGTGTGGAAGGCTGGGACTGTGACCGACCGTAGCGGGGACTTGGGGTCGATGAGATCGGTTGGGGTGAGGTATGCGGGGGGGTTTGTGGCGCTGCGTGTGGGAAGTGGTAGGTCAGGTGCCGTTGGTAGTTGTCGGTGAGGTGGGATGAGGAGTTGGATGGGGGGGAGTGGGAGGGCCCTCAAATGGTGAAGGGGAAAGGGGTGCACGGAGCGGGGGTATTCTATTGTGGCTTTGGGGTGGGGGGAGTGGTCGTTGGGCGGTGTTTGAGCTGGGGGGCTAGTGGATATCAGTCAACGAAAGCAAGATGACAGGGACATGTTCTTGAGCCCACTTTTGTTTTCCTTAAGGGTCGAAAAAACCTCACATCCACCACGAAAATATCTCGCCATTTTTTATGATGTATGGCAGAGAGGGCTAGGTTTCCTTCTGAAGTTCATGGTTGACTTGCCGGGTAACTGATGCTCTGTTACGAATATTACAATGGCGTTTGTACTGGAATTTTGACATAGAATTCCGAGTTAACAATTTTGCATACTTGCCGTTCTAAAAACATCTGGCATTAGCTCAAAACACTACAGTCTATACATGATAGTAGAGAATGTGTTAAGATTTGGTATCCTAAAAATTGAATGTCATCGTTCCTGTTCAATTGTATATATGAAAATAACTGAGTGAAGAACTGTGAGGATTTATTTTAATGTGTTCAGCTTTATTTCTAACTTAACACAATTTTTATAACTACAGAACCAGGAATGATGATTTTGGCATGGTTAGTTTGCACTTGTTTGTAGACCCGGACGAGAATACTATGTCCGCACATCCTTAAATTCAGAAGATTCTGCAACTGTTTTAATAAAACGTTGGAGATGTTCTTGTTAGTAATCTTTGAATGGTAATGTGTGATTTGTGTTTTTTATCATTACTCAGTTGTCTTCTGTAGTTCCTACCAGAGCGTACGCTACAGCCAAATTAGTTAAAGACAGAAGGACACAGATCAGCGGGAAGACAGCAAAGATCCCAGGTGGAAGAGAATGTCGAATGTGTGTAAAAAATAAGAAATGAAAAAGAAGCTTTTGCAAAAAAGGGGCACAAAAGAAGAAAAAAGATCAAAAAATTTCAAGTTCACGAGGAAAGGGGGAGAGAAAAGTTCTATCTTCTTCAACATAAGAATCAAGGGGTAGGAAAGGTGGCCAGGATGGAGAGACCAAGGACAATAATATCCTAGGGACCTTCTAGCTGTATCCATACGAGTGATAGAGGGGATATTAAGCAGCACTCTAGTGAGGTTGAAAAGACAGAATGGCGGGATAAGAGTAAGTCATCAAGACTAATGCATAGCAAAAATGAAGTCGTCTTGAAGACCATATAACAGCAGGCCAATTGGAGGGGACAAAATGAGGTGAGGTGTTTCATATCTGGTATATAAAGAAGTTTTTGAAATGAAAGGGAGACTCGTGATTAGGTTTCGCAGGGCAAAGCAGTAAAACACATCTGCTGGACTAAGACAGATCCAGGTCAGGTCCCATGGGCGAGGTCAGCCATGTGCGTTTACCCGGTGAGGGTCGACCCCTCTCGGTCCGACAATCTTTAACTCCCACTGCTCTTGTTCTGGCGAGGGGTTTGTGCTCTCCCCTATCACTAATGTAGGCAGGTGACTGGCGAACAAGGCTATCATTGATTCACGCGCCAGAGCAAACAAAGCTGTGTTGGCTGCAAAAAAGCACTGGGGGGTACACGCGACAGTCAGAAACCGCACTGGGTGGCTTTAAAGGCAACAGGGTACCGCGCCCAAAGCTACATTGGGTCCGAGCACGCTCAACACAAGGCACTGGGATGTATAACCTCCAGGGGGTCCATCGCCCCCGCAAGTGGGTTGTTCAGACAAACGAAGATGGGGTACAAGCGAAAAAGATGTGTTGGACGCCAAAGAATGGGTACGAGACGCATCAAACACGCCTGGCGGTTTGGCGAACACAGAATGTGATACGAGACAAGCGGAACTCCATGGGTTGGGGCACGAATTGGGGTAAGAGGACAGAGACGCCCCACGCCAAGGGAGTATCTCAGCAGACCCTCGCCACTCGGTTAAGTGAGTGATGTACAAAACCTACTCGTAAGTGTCCTCTATCCCATCGTCCCACCACGTCCAGTATGTGACCTTCTCCATTCCCCCTCCAGTGAGTCTCTCCCCCTCCAGTGAATCCTCGCCCCCTGGCCAGTTGACCTCTCCCTTCCCCACCTCCAGTGGACTCTCTTCCCCTGCTTAACCATACCAAGTTGTCTCAGTTGTCTCCTCTAGGCCAGACATTCATATGATTGTGTAAGAGTCTTTCAGACGAAGCTATGCGTTGACAGTGAACAAACACGAGGCCCAGTGAGGGTAAGCCTAACACCTATAGATGCATTAGCTGATTTGTGCACAAATATGTTTTCTAGTTTTCTGTTCTGGCCTGTTGGTCATGGGTTCTGATCGGTAGATCAATTTTTGCATGTTGGTTCAATGACCTGTTCCTGGTCTTGTCTGCAAAACTTCCTCTGAAGTTGTGTTGCTTTTTTCAGATGTATAAGTTTTTAAAAGAGCAATTTCTGTTTTTGTTGCAGTAGTTCAACTTTGGTCTTTGAAAGACTCAGGGCAAGTTGAAGCCCTTGTTGGCCCATATAAATTGTATGACACATCTTTTAGAACACTCTGTGGACATGGCTGGCTGTCAGATGAAGTAAGACTCCATGTTCTGGGAAGTTTATATTTTCACAAGGCAGTCCATCCAGAAATTTATGTTTTTTTTTTTTTTTTTTGTCAAACAGGTTATAGATGCATATTTGTATGTGACACTTCAGAAGACCAAGGTTCAACATGTTTTAAGGTTAAATTTAATCCACTCTTAGTAGTTTCACATATTTCTTTGAAATTATATTACATTTCAGATACCTGTATACAGAATGGATGCAGTAATTGCATCTTCTGTATTTCATCTTGGGCAATATCGGGCTGTTCAAAAGGTAATTATTCACTTTTAAATCATCTTAAGAGAATGAATGCAAATTAATCTTATTATTTGCAATTTCAAAAGATGGTTTTACCTGAAGCCTCCATTTGGATGTGCCCTGTAAATGTGGGAGGTCACTGGCTTTTGGTGGTATGTAAAATTTATTTATTTAACTTTATTTACACATGAATATGTCTATATGTCACAATCGGTTGTTCCCTGGGCAGCATGGGAGGGTGACAGAGGTTGTCTGTCTGTCTGTCTGTCTTATCTATCTTCCAAACATTCCAACAGATTGTCGTGATGAATCACCAAGAGCTAGTAGTTATAGACCCTATGGGGAACGAAACAATGTATGACAGAAAGCTTCTCCATAACTGGAGGTGATCTGATTCATGTCTTTATCATTCATTCATTATGTATTTTGTTATTGTTACAATGTCCTATAAACTTCCTAAAAGCAAAAGGTGCTGGCCGGAGAAGCTGGAGTGTCCGCCATATGTCGCATATGCTGCAGAAGGACTCCAGCAGTTGTGGGGTCTTGGTTTTGAAGGTACAAAGAACAGATGGAATGTTTTGAAATCCATGGAATTATTACATTAAAAGGCATAATTTTTTCAGTTTGCAGAAACATATGTTCAAATGGGAGGGCTGCAGGCAGTGCAAACAGGACCCAAAGACATATCCCAAGCCAGACTGCACATCGCTACCACACTGTATCAACATCGAGGTGAAAGAACAATTTCAAAGAAGTCTTGTTTTCCAGTTTGCTGGCTGAATGTTCAGAGATTTATAGCTTTGGACAGCTATGATTCTAAGAATTTTTTGGTCAGAACACATGAAATTTTATTAATGTTGGGTATTAAGAACCAGTTCCACTGTTCTGGGAACTGTGGAAGTCTGTGTGAAACCTGTTGATCTGTTTTGTTAATATTCTAACAATCAAAAACACAAGATGGCTTAGGAGCATATCAACGAATTTTTCATTCCAAACGGAACAAATTTTCCCTTAGGCTATACCGGAACAGTCCAAAGCATTAAAAAAATCCAAAGATATATGACATACTAAATTGCAGTATTTTCTGTTATGTACTAGTATAACATGATGGCTTGTCAACAGAATATAAAGAGGTAGTACTTGACTATTTTTGGTAAAGTACACTCTAAATGCCTTTATTTGTTCCCAGACAAGGTGGAAGAGTACTGTGTGGAATGCAATATGCTTCACTGTAATGCTTCAGAGAACATCATTGACATGGTAAACAACTAAACTGTACAACTTAACGCTTCAAACACATTACACTTGCTTACTCATAACTGTTTTCTTTTTCTGTCCACTTCACAGATACAGTGTGACTGCTGCTCAAGGTGGACACACAAAGAATGTGCCACAGACATGGGTGACATGTTCAAATGTAAAAAGTGTAATTTAAATTAAACAGTTTTACCCCACCAGTGACAGTGTGGATTATTAAAAATACAGAAGTAAAATGTTCTACATTAAATATAGTACATCATACAACTGATGTCATTGGTATTAATCAGGAAGTCATACAGTGGCTAATAACAAAGTGTATGGCAATCAGACAGGTTAAGGGATGCATCAGGAAGTCATACAGTGGCTAATAAAGTGTTATTTCATTAGCAGCTTTATGACGATCTAACACCGTTTTAATAAAGATGATTAAATATAAAATATGGTGAAATTGCCGTTGTTCTGTCAGATAGCCATACGCTGTCAGGATAGCACACATGCAGTCAGTACGCATGCCCGCGCATGCGCATTAAGAAGTCTGACCGTCAGTGGAGTTGTCAGTTCAGCATACGCAACAAGTTATGACGAAAATAAGTCATTAAATTGTTTATAATATGACATAATATGATAACTAGATAAATATACATGCGTTGTCATGGTTTCAAAGTGTATTTAAAGCAGGTCTGGCTGCAGCTGCAGTCAATTACAACACAGGCCCGTGTAAAACTCATGAACCTACTTAACCGCTAAGTCAGGATGCCATATAACTGTTAATAACAAAGTGTATGATGATCTACGTCATGATTCTATGTTGCTGATTAAATAAAATCATATGGTAATGACAACGTATACATGTCTGAGCTAAGCGTATGACTATCTGACAACGTATGCTGATCTGACAGATATAGCCATCAGTTTGTCATACGCGTATGACGATCTGACAACGCATGGCTATCTGACAGATATAGCCATCAGTTTGTCATACGCGTATGACGATCAGACAACGCATGGCTATCTGACAGAACACCGCCACGTGCGGACGTCGACCCCCATTGGCCAGCAGCGCGGACGAGACATCTAGCCTTTATTATGGATATCTATGGTTCGCAGACCAGAGGAGGACACTTTTATTTTATGCCCTACTTACTTTTTTTTTCAGTAATAATTTAATATTTTTTTATTTTAGCTATGAGTTATTAATTTCCTGTAAGAGTTTAAAGTTTTGTTTTTTTAAAGCACCATTGAAATTTCAATTCATTATTATAACTTAGTATAGTGTAATTTTAATATGTAATACAGTTTAAATATGTTTAGTATCAGGTTTAAACACTGCCTTTTTGACTTCTTATTTTAACCCATTTCTTTTTGAAGCTGAGAGTTTCTTTAAACTCTCCTTTTATCCATCCATCATTTTAAACTGTTTTTTTTCTTTTTTCTTTCTCCCTTTTTTTCTATTTTTTTTTTTTTAATCTGTAAATTTCTTACCTTACCTTCTTTTACCCCTCTTAACTTCTCATGATATTTGTTTATCTTATCTTTAACATTTTTGTTTATTGCAACATTAAAAGAACCATATTTTTTTTTGGCATTTGATCAAAAATTTCTCCTTGGGCAGTTGACAATTTCCCGGAACCTTGCCTTTTGTTCTACTACCATACTGTAGAACTGCAAAACCTTTCCCATTATCTACAGGTAATTTAACTCTGCCCGATACACACCAATCCTATGGTGCCAACTTGGATAACTGGGGGGCGGGGGGGTCCCACTCTAGATTACCGACGTCTCAGTAAAATTAAATGCCTTCTGGTGGCACCTACAACCTTCCTCTCACCCTTAGAGAGAGCCTCACGTTCCTATGCGAGGTCTTTTGGTTCACAGGTGGAACAAAAACCTGAATTGCCTTTCTGCTCCCCAAAAAGAAAAGTTATCTTTTATTTTGTATGTATATTCTTTAGTATTATACTAATGGTAATGCTTTTGAAATGATTAATCTTTAATTTAGTTAGATTTTTTGCTAGATTACATTTATTTATTTGATTATTTTTAATGGAGAAAAAGAGGACTTTGTTTGAGCTAATTTTCCAGTATTTGATTCCTAATTATCTTTAAATCTGTTATCTGCTGTTATCTTTGCACCAGTCCACCAGCTGCTCCACCTCCTCTCTGTAGTTCTGATCGCTTTCATCCCTGATGAGTCCCACCACCGAGGTATCGTCTGCAAACTTCACGATGTGATTGGTGGTGAACCTGAGGACGCAGTCATGTGCCATCAGGGTGAACAGCAGGGGGCTCAGGATGCAGCCCTGAGGGGAGCCTGTGTTTAAGATGATGACATCAGAGGTGTTCTGTCCGACCCAGACTGAATGAGATCTAGGCTATAACTACTTTAAGCATCAACATGTATGTTAAGTCCCTAACAGCAACCCCCCACTTGTTGTTAGTCCCTGTCTCGTCTAATTGTTTGACTTTATTTATAAAGCTCCTTATAGAAAATACATCGTCATTCAAGGCACTTTATATCATACTTGCCCTATATTTACAATATGAAATGACATTATTTATGTATCAAAAACATTTCAAAATGACTATCCTATCCCTTTTCCCATAGGACCTATATCTGATTTCATAAATAATGTTGTAATTTGATGAATACCTTGATGAATTATATGATTTATGTAATATACAAAAAAAAACTCCCATATATATATATATATATATATATATATATATATATATATATATATATATATATATATATATATATATATATATATATATATATATATATATATATATATATATATATATAGTTTTTTATTTTTGTATATTACATAAATCACATGATTCATCAAGGTATGGAAATTTATATATAACTTATATATATAACTGAGTTTTCTACAGATGTCTATTTTTATTGGTTCTACAGTAGTGAAACTTTGTTTGTTCATTTCATTTTATTTTTTAGATGTATATGAAATGAAAACATCACCAGAATACACAGATTCAATCAAACAGTTCTACCATTTCTATTTCGCCTTGCTTATTCATGACAGATTTGGCTCCAGCCAGTGAAAAATCTCATCACGATGTCGTTTATAACGTCTTAAATCTGTTTGGGCTTTTTTATTTCCTCTTTCTCGGGCAGGGTGGAATAAATAAGAAGAGAAAGTTTATGTTTATTTTAATTTCAAGAGGAGAGGGCGCGTCTTCTAGAAAATTCACGAAAATCCTCCACAAAATCTTTACTGCAGAGCGGGACACGAGTCCCTGCCTGTTAGAGAACTGTATGGCAGGCCATTTGACATTTATTAGCTTGAACGAATATATATTCCAGGTGTTTCAAATGCATTTCTTTCTAGTCAAAATGAACATTTCAGATATCTGTAATGCAATTCTTACTAGGACAAATTACGTCACTTGTCCCATTCATGCGTATTGGGCTTTTACTTCCAGATATCTAAAATAACTTTCTTCCTATCAAAAATAAACATTCTTCCTATCTAAAATGAATTCTGACTAGGATGAAATCTCATTTCAGATCTCCACAATAGAGTTATTGATCATAAGTCATTATTACTGCTTTGGATATCAAAAATGAATATAACATTACAGATATCTAGAAATCCAATTCTTGACATTTAAAATATATTTCTGTGAGTACATATATAATTACAGATATCAACTAGTTATTAAACAACTAGTTAAATTAGAATTCCAGATTTCTACATTTTAATAATGCCTATCTAAAATTTTGTTTTAGATACTTTCAAAATGACATTACAGTGACATTACTCCTATCTGAAATATCTGAAATACAAACATTATATGTTAAAACGGTCACCTAAAATAAGTAAAGATTTGTAGATATCTGAAATTCATTTTTAGACATCCAGAATGTTTATTTTAGATAGGAGTAATGTCATTTCGGATATCTAAAAGTAACGGCCCAATACAGATGAATGGGGAAGAGTGACTAGTAACAATTACATTTCAGATATCTGAAATTATGTTTTTGGCAGCCTGAAATGTAATTTTTGCTAGCAAAAATGTAATGTAGGATATCTATATTTACAATGCTGCCTAGTAGGAATGTAGTTTGAGAAGTGGCTGACCTTTTGGACTGAGGTGGTGGAGCTCCAGGACTGAAACCGCCTGTTGGCAGCAATCAGTAAAAGGGTAAAGTGATCAATTATATATTTTCTTTTATTTTTTTTATGTAATTTTATATTCCATTTCCATAGACTTCCAACTATTCAAGAAAAGTTTGATAACTTTCTCTTATTAGATTCCTTTCTGCATCTTGCAATGAAGAAAATGTTTGCTGACTGACATGACTTTTATCTGTGGGAAAATGTCCAATGAGGGTGATAATGTACGGCCTGGTTGGCTTTCACTGAACCATGATTCTTTTAGAGTAATTTCTGATCAAATTAGAACCAACCTTAAGTATCTAAACCAAAAGGTATCTTTTAAAAGAGAAAAACTCAGCAGCAACTGCCTTTTCCTATGTCGGCTTCAGGACTAGAAAACAACACGTTTTTTATCAGGCCTGTGGTTGTTTAAAAACAGGACGGGTTTGTTCATTTCCTGCTGTCACCATGTTCCATAATGTTATGGACGGACCTGGAGATGAAAACTTAGGCAAATCCAGAGAGAGAAAAGGGTCCAAACATGGTCTGACACAGTAGTAGAAAATGTGCACAGGTTTTAGTCACAAACCAAATTCGCCATTTCCACAGCAGCCACTCGGAGAGATTAGCTTCATCTCTTCATGATTTTGTGGTGTGTTGCTTTGTCCCTGTGCCATGAATGTCTGAGGTTCTGACTAAGACAGAGAAAAGGTGATTGTTGCTCTGACTTATGAAAATGTAAACAAAACAGCAACTTATAGAGGAAAAAGAAGGAATAATATAATCCAATAGGATAAAATCTAAAGTCATGTGTGATTTTAATCTGAATTAGATTTTACTAAATGAAAAACTAAGAGAATTAGATTTTCCTTTCCTCCAAAAAAAAATTTATACATATGTATATTATTTAAAACATATAAACAATGATATCAACTATTTTCCTCCCTTAAGTGTTTTGTGACAAAGTGGTTTAGTTTGTGTTTACCACTTGTCCCTTATTCCTGCTTCTGATTTGTAATGCTTAACTTTAAACATTAGTTTGCAACTTTGACTTTCACTTACTATCCCGGGTTTGTTTGTGTTAGCATTATGTTGCAGTTTCCATCTACTTATGTTTAGGTTAAAACTATTACTTCAGGATTATTGGATTAAATTGTTATGTTTCAAAGTATATTCATGGTTTTTGTTTTCCTTTTTACATACCATTATTTAAGTATTTCCTGCTAAATTGACTAAATTATGTCATCCATTAATTTGCTGGATTCTACCATTTAGAGGGTTTCCTTTAGAGTTATGCTTTTTTTTTGTTTTTCTTTAAAGTAACTTTTTGAGTTATCTTTTGAGTTATCTGTTTATTTTGCAGACTTTTTTCTTTATGTAGAGGAGTTTGTAAATTAGATTAAGTTTATTCTTGTTTCTCTGTTTAGACTGTTTTTTTTTTTTCCTGTTTAATTGAGGCTTGGTCCAATCAAGTGCAGGTGTGTTGCCACTTGATTATATAAGCCCTGAGCTCTTGGAAGCTCGAGGTGAAATGTTTTGTCTGAGAGAAAAGTAATAAAAGACAACAGAGAAACTGGAACCGTTGGCTGAAGCTGGTTTTTTTGGTTCACCTTTTTGACCCTCGACCAAACTACTTCACATGTTTAAGATAAATAAACTTTACAGTTAACCAAATATATGGAATTTAGTTTGAAAAATGCAACTAAAATATATAAAAGCTATGAGTTTTTTTAACTAAAATTACAGATTTGCAAAAAATAATTAATTCCTGAAAGATTTGAATCAAAATGGCATATTTTCCTGAGAGAGTGAAATAATCTTAATAACAATTTTTGGCACATTTAAAAACAATTATGTTTAAAAATAAATAAAACCTAAAACCTGCTTAATGGATTTAAATCAATGGTGATAAAAACAAAAAAAACATCCTAACTTTCAGAATCAGGACTGAAATAGCACCAGACATAAAGTTATAAATGGTTGGCTTACAGCAGAATAGTAACTGATTTGCTGTTTATTGACTAGAGTTAAAGTACCTGCGTATAAATAGACTGAAAGCGTCCATTTTACCGTTGACCCAGTTACAGGAGGTTCGGTAAAGATGGGCGGGCTAAGGGTTCCATGAATCTGCCTAAACCCCTCACCCCCCAGTGAGAGAAAAGGGCCTGACACACATGAAGGTTTGCATGCAACAATTACGTTTAATCATTTATGTTATGGCCATTTGTTGGTGTTTTGTTTGTCTTATCTGTTTGTCTTATATGTTGTCTGTCGTGTCTGTGGATCCACTCTATTGTATGTTGTCCATTTGTGAAAGGATAGTTTAGTTATTTTTTGTCTTGGTAAAATAGAAATGAGTGAATAATTAGGGTTAAACTGTAAAATAAGGACAGTTTCTAGTTTCTGTGGCTCATTCTTCCCCCTAACCTGTTTTCAAAACAAAGCAGGAGTTAAATGTGTTAAAGATAATGCACAGCTGTTTAAATTGGTAATAAAGGGGATTGATGTAAGGTTAAAATATCACAACAAATAAAGTTTAATGAGACAGATAAAAAAAAAAAATTTAAATCAAATGAACAGATTTGCTTGTTTAACAATAATTGGGCATTTCTTCAAATAATCAAGGACCTGTGTCATTATTTAAATGCTAAATGCTAAAGTTTAATTTATCAACCTTAATTCTTTAAGATTTAGATTAAACTTTAAGGGTAAATAAATCTATATGTGTGTAGCACAAATAACTCGTATAAAAATAAATTAGGCTGATCGAATTTGCTTTTAAATTATTTACAATTCTTTAAGAAGTAAATCTATCTTAAGCTGATCTGGAATAAATATGCAAATTTATTTAACATAAGTATTGGTTAATAATTATACGGTGTTCAAATGACTCAATTGGAAATAATGACGTTTGGGAAAACCAGCTTTGTTGATGTTTGTTGATGGTTCAGCTTCTTGGACCCCTGATTTGGTGTTTCTTCACCTCATGAAACTCTTGTTTCTGGTTCTTTGATTTTGCTTTGCCTTGGAAACATCGTTCTTGAAATCAGATAGAAAGCCTATTTTCTTCTTCCACACACATCATGTCTGGTGGAAGCAACAGAAGGCTGTGCTGCAGCGTCTCCCCTTGTTTACATTGCTGCAGCCCACTGACACACAGTCCTCTGCTGAGGAGAAGCTTGTTTGGATTTCTGCAGGTGCAGAAGTGATAAGTGGTACGAATACTAAGGAAGTACATTTACTGGGTAAGTTTGAAATTATGGAATAATTCAATGATTTGTGACAAAGTCCAAAGTTTAAATTTTAATCTAAAGTTCTTTAAGCTACATGAACTTGTTTTATCTAGTATTGTTTGTGAAAGGCTAAGATAACATCTGATCTGTCCTTCTCCCAGCTCCTTTAATTCAGCATGTTGGTAACTTTGACTCCCAGTTTTCCTCCACATGAGCTCATGACGGGTCGACCCTTTCCTGGACCACAGAACGGGCCAGACCACTGACCTCTGGCCAGACTGGGACTGACAGGTGACACATTAAAATGACCTACAAGACCTTTTTTTTTCCCCCTTAGTCAGAGACGGCTTTACAGAAGGACCAAGGTGCCTGGAGACCCTGATGGGGAACCATCTCAGCCATCCTTCCATCCTTCAGCAGGAGGAGGTGTGGCTCAAAGTCATCAAAAGAAAGTGATCAGAGCTCATCTGAGCTCATCTGGAAGGAACCAGGAAAAGCTTCAACAAAGCAAATTAGAATAAAGGGGCAGAATAATCCCCTCTGATTGGTTAATTAACACATCAGTAGTCCACCTGATGTGTTGAGGACCAGCTGCTCTGCAGACCACCCATTGAACCTCGTTCAAAATGTTGCCTGTATAAGGGACCAACATCAACAGAAAGATGAAGACGCCCACCTGAAGATGTCTGACATCAGTTTTGGCTTTTTGATTTTTCAATTATACAACATGAATGAGAAGGGAAATGTGTTGTGATGTGTTGTATTTTAATCAAAGATTAACATTTTTAGTATCTAAGTGTTTGATATTACTTTTCTTGATAATAAAAAGAAAGTCCATGTGTTAGATGACCACCTGATGGCTGATGGTCAGTATTGGCAGAGATTTCTGGATTAGAGAATGAACTTTGATGATCGGGTCATCTCAGCTACCATTGGGAAAGAGGAGCGCTGAGATTAAATCCTCCAACTTTTCAATGTGTGCTTTGACTGAGCCTGATTCTGAAGAGCTGAACTCGTCATCTGCGTGAAACATCTTTGTGTTATGATTTTAACATTTTGCATAGAGATTGATCTTTTTTTACTTTTAATGAAGCTTTGTAGAGATGAAGGGGTCTATTGTTTTGACTGATTTGAACTTTTCTCTTTCCAGGGAAACAAAAAGGGTAACTGATAATGATAAGAACTAAAAATTAAAATTTTCAGCAAATAGATATTTTACCATAAAAGTATCATCATGGGGAAAAACAGTAAATATTTTTGCCAACTAAGATGTGATTCCAGGGCTCTATTTATTGGAAACATATTTTAGCTATCATAATCTTTTCCATAATTTTTCCATCTATTATAATCATTTAACATTGTCCACCGGCTTAATGCAGTTGCGGATTTTTTATTTATTATTTTTGAATTATTATTATTTTTATTATTATTATTATTTTATTTTAGTTTGTAGTTTTTAGATTTTCTTACATTTTTTTCACAATTTTAGTTTTTTAGTTTTTAGCTTTCTCTACATATATTTACAATTTTTAGTTTTTTAGTTTTAGCTTTCCTCTACATATATCAATTTATGGTTTTG